TCATACATCCTATGTGACATCAGTGCGTAATCTATCGTTGACTGCAGCCTTCCTACCTCCCATTTTATTTGCCCTTCACACTTCTCGGTACTGTTGCAAATGATCAAACCCATTCTTTCACACATATCCATGACCATTTTGCCGGTCGGGTCGGTATACCCTACTATGTCTTCTATGTCTGCATTCATATCTCCTAGTATAATTATCTCGCACTCTCCTCCTAATTCCTGAATGTCATTTGATATACACTCTACTATTGCCTAGTTTTCCTCTGTGGCCTATGCTCCCGTCCACAAGTACACGAAACCAAGGAGTGTCATTTGCCCTGCCGCTTTCCCTTTTAGCCATAAATGTTTCTTGCACTACTGCTTGATCCTTTGCCATTCTGTACTTTTATTATTGAATGCCCCAATACCACCCCCCTTCCTGCTGCCTTCTGTTCTATTACAATATTCCCACGCGTAGTCCGCATTGTTCGGAGGTTGTTCCATGTCCCTGAGATGTGTTTCTACAAAACCGTATACCATCGGCCTCTATTCCCTTAGCTGTTCTTCTATCTCTTCCCACTTCAGCTTGTTCCTACCACACTGCATGTTAATATACCATGTCTCTGAATTGGCTCGGCGCTCGTGATTACGTCTATTTATGCCCCGGACTCAACCTATCTTAGATACTGGTGCCACTTTGGAATCGTATCTGTCCATACCACCTGTCAAAGAGTCTCCCTGGTTATTTTCCTCGTTACTAGCTATCCTGCATCCCGAAAGGACCGCTTGCCCCCCAAAAAAGCTACTGCGCCTCCTGCAATTCGCCAACCCACCTCATGACCTAGCCGCCCATCGAAGTGAATTGTCTCGTTGAAGACCACCCTACCTATGCACCTCTCTGTTTATATACACCACCTCAATGCCTTTCTCTCGACTCATCCGCCATATCTCTTGGTTTGCGTTGACAACCGCCCTTTGCAGGTTGCTATCACGCACCGGTTCCTCCGGTATTGTGCATATCGCTACCTGTACCTCAGGAGAAGTGGCGCGCATGTCATCTACGCTTTTCGCCAGTGTAGTTGCTAGTCCTGCTGCATCTTCGTTTAACACATCGTTTAAACCGCCTGAAGTTGTCACGAGGTTTCGTCTATCATCTGTAGTTTTGAGTTTTGCGCTCGCTTGCCTCATGACTGCTTCCAGCTTGCGTCCTGGGAACGCTCCTACTGAAACCATCTTGTCACCTCCTACCCTCTCTTTGATGGCTTCTGTGCATCGATTTAAATTCGAGTCTTCGGCGATTATCATATGCTGTGACTTTTCAGCTGGAGCATCCTGCACCTGGGGTTTACTTGCACCTGTGACTCCGGCTGCTTTGTCCCCTCCCAGCCCCACCACTACTTCGCTGAAGCTAGGCCTAGCGACAAATGAACCGGCTGAACCTGTTTTTTCCAAACTTGCTTGCTCTTTCTTCTCCGCAGTTCTGGTTGCCGGTTCCCTACTGTTCCTTACTGTTCCCTACTGTTCCTACTGTACCTTAGGCCACTCCTCTGTTTACCTTGGCTAGTGCTTCCTCGGCGGACTTCAGCTTTTCTCCCATAGCCCTCGTTTTCTCTTGCTCTGTCGCCGAGGCAGTCTCGAGCTCTGTGATTCTCATCAGCATGTCACTGTGGGTAACCATAATTTTCTCCATTTTTTTCCTCAACCTTGCATTGCCTACACTTCGCGTCAGCCTCTTTTTCTTCCGCTTCTACACGTGGGTCCACTTTAAAACCAACCTCACATCCTGAACACTTCACAGTCTTTTTTACCATGTCTTTCCGACACCAATTGTTCTATGACTTGTCTCACTCGATAATTACAAAACTGGAGTCCTGCCCTACGAAAAAGAGAAAGTGTGAACGTGTGCCAGCGCCATCTGACGGTTTCCTCTCAAGGCGTTACGGGCTAGCCGACGCATTCATCACATTTTCCTATTTTAGCCACTGTAGTTCTTTGACGCGGCTAGCGCGGCTGCCTCGTTTATTCCACTGCCCCATTTTAGTCTGTACCACAGAACGTAGAGCTTCCTAAAATTAACTAGAGGGGACTCTGGCGCTACGATCGTTCAGTGACCATGGGAATGATGGGTAGTACTATAGCGTACTAGGATATGGGGTAGTGTGTTCAGGCACCCTCTCTCGCCATGCATCGCGTGAAGCGTCACACGTGGACCCTCACACGTGGACACGAGGTGACAAACCTAAGTTTTGTCACCTTAGCAACATAATTAAAATTGCATGATGCAACTATCGACAAGAACGGTGCCGCGCGCGTAACGAAGGTAGTCGAAGCTGTCACAGTGTGCAGACTACGAATCGATATAGCAGTAATATAACAAGAAACTTTCTGGTTTACAAATGTTCCTTCGATACCTCAATCTTCCTTATTTTTTTATTTGTTCTCCAATCAAGCTTTAAAAGCTGCAAGCAGTTTACCCAGGGATGACTGCTTCGCCGTCGTTTGTTAATACCTGTATTCAAACCGTGTGTTGCGGCTTTGACGTTTTGTTTTGAATGCAGTACAAACAAACCTATTAGAAAGCTTTTCGCGGACGTGTCAGCAATTACGTATCCAAGCGCATATCACGGGATCGAATCCCGGCCGCGGCGGCTGCATTTTCGGCGGAGGCGCAAATATTCTGGTGCGTGTACCTACATTTAGGTGCACGTTAAAGCGCCCCAGATGGTCGAATTTCCGGTGCACTCCTCTATGACGTCTCTCATAATCGTATGGTGGTTTTGGGACGTTAAAGCCCTGCTATTACCATAGTGCACTAGAAAAACCTCATATTCTAGTACACTATACTATTACTAATATTAAAGCACACAAGTGCATAAAAGGCAAAGCGTGAGGTGACAGGATAGATGGATGAATGGATGTGGCTGTACCCTTTAAATCAATCGGCGGCTAACGCCACCTAGCCGTATTAATGAACTAACCACTAGATTTATCATTTTGTTTTCCTTTAAATAGTGAAGTTGAGGACTGGTACTTTGCAGTGAAGTGTTTAATTTTCACTCGTGCCTTGACTTTAGCCACCAATCAGATAACCTTCTTCTAGTTAATTCTACCCGCTTAAAGTCTATTTTGCCCTCCCTGTCGCTAAACCCCAGTGCTTTGAAAAACTCTGCGCCATCATCCTGAACTATATGGTGAAGCCCTTTACAGAACATTGTTAAGTGATCGGCAGTTTCCTCTTCCTCTCCACACGCACTGCATATTGTGTCTAACCCTTCGTATTTGGCCCAACACCCCTACTTGAGTGACGCCATCACCGTAGTTCTGACGACCGCCGCTTTCAAAGTGAGCGGCCAATAATCCGACAGGCATAAAAAATCTAGGAGGCGTTGGTACTGCCCATCATTCCCATGCTCGCTGAAGCGCCGTGCGTTGCAGCTCCCGTAGACACTAGCGCCAGAGTTCCCTCTAGTGTATATTGGGAAACTCTATGCTACAGAACACCTATTCACTAGACTGTACCTCAGCGCTCACCTCTTGCCTCAAGTTGAGTGAGCAGCGTGCTAGAAGTTAATCTAGTAAAAAGGCGGCATTTATTGACTTGGGTCGTTCAACGCCTCATCTAAACAATGCCTGGGGAATGGCTCGCGCTCCCAGCGGAGTTGGCCTGCCTTCAGTTTTGAACAAGCGCCGCGCGGTGGCGCTCGCGACCGAGACTATGGATAAGCAATGGGACTTAGTATCTGAGGGAACACGAAATATACGTGACGACTAAAGGTAACAGGAATGCAGCAGTCATGAAAAATAGGGCACTGTGGAATTACAATAGGTGTGATGTTGTGAGAGGAATATGGAAAGGGGTCATGGTTCCTAGGCTGACGTTCGGCAATGCGGTCTTGTGCATGAAATCAGAAGTTCAAGCAAGATTAGAAATTAAGCAACGTAGAATAGGTAGGCTTGCTTTAGGAGCTCACGGGAATACACCAAATCAGGATGTACAAGGTGATATGGGATGGACATCATTCGAGGGCAGGGAAGCTAGCAGCAAGATAAAGTTTGAGAAGTGATTGAGAGAAATGGGGGAAGAGCGTTGGGCTAGGAAGGTTTTCAGCTACTTGTACATGAAGAATGTCGATACAAAATTGAGGAAGCGAACCAGGAAGTTGACTGGTAAATACTTAGAAAACAGCAGGTGGCCAAACCAAAAAGAACTATCGGTTAAGAAGAAAGTGAAGGAAACGGAGACTGACATGTGGAGAATGGGCATGATTAAGAAGTCCGCACTAGAGATCTATCGAACTTTTAAGCAGGAAATTGCCAAGGAAAGGATCTATGATAATACTCGGGGCAGTTCTCTACTGTTTGAGGCCAGGACGGGAGTACTGCGAACCAAGACATATCGGGACAAATACGAAGGTGTAGACACAGTATGCAGTGCGTGTGGAGAGGAAGAAGAAACTGCCGAACACTTGATAATGTTCTGTAAAGGGCTTCACCTTATAGTTCAGGATGATGGCGCAGAGTTTTTCAAAGCACTGGGGTTTAGGAACCGGGAGGGCAAAATAAACTTTAAGCGGGTAGACTTAACTAGAAGGAGGTTATCTGATTGGTGGCTAAAGTCAAGGCACGAGTGAAAATTAAACTCTTCACTGCAAAGTACGAATCCTCAAACTCACTTTTTAAGGAAAAAAAAAATGATTATAATTTTTGGTTCATTAGGTATTATGGCTTGGTGGCGCTAGCCACCGCTCATTCTAAAGGGCACAGCCATATTCATCCATCCAATATCACGGCGACAGGCGGTATCAGCTCAGCGTTTTTCATCTGCGGCCTGTAGGGGCGCGTCAGTCGGGAGTTGTTCGAGACCTGCGACTGTACACCGCTATTTCAGAGGCTATGCAAAGTGTTGCGTTGTTGCACCGTCCGCCACTGGTGACGCTAGCGACTGAGAACATTTCCAAAATGAAGGAGAGAAAGAGTGTGGCAGCTGTTTTTTTTTTTCCCATGCGGCAGGCATCTTCCTAGAGGAGGCGTTGGGTCGCTCAAGCATCCGAGCCAGCCAATCCTAGCTGTGTTTTGAGCAGCAGAACAAATACTGGCGAGTTGGTGCGAGTGCTGTTGTTAATGATTATTTACCCTCTGTACCATTGCATTCATAAACAATTCGTATTGGTGAAGCTTTCTGCTCTACTTGGTGAGTAATCTTCCGTGCGCAGATGAAGCAAACTGGGTGATGTATAACGGGCCCATGTTTTCGTTATTTTCCACCAGCGATTGTTGTGACGGGGGTACGGCGCAACTGCGAATCATGCAGTGATGTTTATTATCTAGCGGAAACTTCGCGCGCCGCTAAAGTAGGAGTGCTCTGTCATGCTTTTCGGTGATGCTTTGACGCGATTACTCGCTGTATCGAATACGGAACGAGCTGCTGTGGCAGGCTATAACGGAACTACAGGCTCTTTTTTCTCTTTGATGTCAATACGGGTACGTAGTCATGACCGCTTCGTTACCTGAATTCGTTTTTTTCCCCGCAGGGGCGCCTGCGCAAGTAGGCGTTTGGTGTGTAGCGACACCATGGACCCGAGCCAACGAGGGAGTTTTGACTCTCTCCCACGCCTAGCCGTGCGTGGCTTTGCCGTGTCCGGGGAAAAGGGGATCCTGGGGGTTGAGCCAATGCTGGGTGATTGGACCTTTAAGGCCCCCCGGCAGAGGTAACACACCCCTTTGGCCCCGGCTTCACGTAGGCGGCACCCCTGGGCTGACCCACCCAGGGGAAATCGGCAGTCGCCTTTTCCTATCTCTCTCGCCCCCACATCTTCGTCTTTTCTCCTCTTTAAATCTATCCTGTCCTCTAATTTCTTCTGTTACTTCCCCATTTTCATGGGCGGCTTGGGTTAACCTTGTGCAACTAGCCAACTTTGGCCTACGCGCATTAGGTTATCGTAGCGGTGTACGGCTGGCGTCAGCATGTTTCTCGTTTCATGCACCTTGTAGCGTCCCCTCGTTGGCCTCCGTGGTGGGTGGCCGCCATCGTTACTGAATTACATTCCTCTATCATGCAGAGAAGTTTTCCACTCCTCAATGATCGTGCCGCTTCAAAGCGCGTACGCACCGAAGAATTTTCCTTTTTCAGCCGACCCAAAGAAGTATTCCCTCGTTGTCATGTTGTACACAGTGAGAAGCCCAACAAAACAGCCAGAACAGTGTCCCCGTTCATAGTATCGCGGTCCCTGACAGCCACATTAGGTGATGGCTACAAAGTTACAAAAATGGCTAGTGGTGACCTTCTTTTAGAACTCCGTGACAAAACACAATTTGACAAACTAAAGAACCTTACAACATTCGGCGACATCCCCATCAGCGTAACACCTCATCGATCCATGAACTCTGCACGTGGAGTTGTTTCTGACACAGACCTCCTTTGACCTGACGGATGCTGAACTCCTCGAGGGCTGGAAAGAACAGAATGTGACCAACGTGAAGCGAATCACTATCCGAAGGAACAATCAGGAAACCCCCACGAAACACTTGGTACTGACCTTTGCCACCAGTGAACTACCACAAACAATAGAAACTGGCTATACAAAGACACCTATCAGACCCTACATACCAAACCCCCGCCGTTGTTACCAGTGTCAAAGGTTCGGCCATGGCTCTCAGAGCTGTCGTGGTCGACCTGCTTGTGCCAAATGCGGTGCCCAAGGCCACATCTCTGACAATTGTAATGAAACCCTACATTGTGTAAACTGTGACGAAGACCACGCATCATATTCACGTTCTTGTCCTCAGTGGAAAAAGGGAAAAGACATTATTACACTGAAGATTCGTGAAAATATCTCCTTCAAGGAAGCACGCCGAAGGTGTTCGGCTTTTCACGGCACAACTTACGCTGATGCGGCGCGTCAGGGGGCAGCGTCGCATCACCCTCCGCCACTACCTAGGCCCACGCAAAGTGAGCCATCGGGCGTGGTGGCCGCCCCCATGGTGGAAGCAGCCAAGCCTGCTCCACCTACCAAGCCAGAGACTCAGGTGACTCCAGGGTCGTCGGGTCGACCGACCACGTCTCACCAGGCGAGGTCGCAAACACGCAGCAGCAGCTCGCGTACCCGGGCGTCCAGTGCTTCCTGTGAGGCAATGGACACAAACACGGTACCTCAGGTGCCGGAAACGCGGCGTGGCTCCATAGAGCGCGCTAAAAGAACCAAGAAACCAATAACAGGGCCCGACAACGGCCCTGATACTTAAGCTACAACTTCCCACTTGAACAGTCACTTAATTTTCGTACACACAGCACCACTTTCCATCAAATATGGAAACACAGATTCTACAATGGAATGTCAGAGGCCTTCTCACTAACCTCGACGATGTCCAAGAACTTCTACACATTCACTCATCAAAAGTGCTGTGTGTACAGGAAACACACTTAAAATCTAAACACACCAACTTTCTACACAGTTACATTATTTTCCGAAAGGACCGTGATGATGCCGTGGCATCATCTGGAGGTGTAGCTGTTATAGTTAAGCAAGGTTTAGCATGTAAACACTTGAAACTCCAAACGTCTCTTGAGGCAGTGGCTGTTCGAGTGGTGCTTCTAGGCAGACTTGTCACCGTTTGCTCTATATACATACCTCCACATATTCAACTACGCAAACATGAATTCCAGTCTTTGATGGATGAACTTCCCGAACCCTATCTTGTTCTAGGGGACTTTAATGCACATAACAGGCTATGGGGCGACTCTCGTTGTGACGCCCGAGGTCGACTGATTGAACAGTTTTCTCTTTTCAAGCGTGTGTCTCCTGAATCGGAAAGAACCAACCTATTATAACCTCGCTAACAATACCTATTCCTCAATAGACCTGAGCATAGTATCTCCATCGCTTGTGCCTCTACTTCACTGGAAAGTCATCAGAAATCCCTACGGAAGTGACCATTTTCCCGTAGTTTTGAGCACACCTACATCAACTGAATGCCCGCCCCAGGTTCCAAAATGGCTATTAAGCAAAGCCAACTGGGAACAGTTTAATGCCATCACACATATAAATTGGCGCGACATATGCACTTTAGACATTGAAGCAGCTGTCGACTACTTCACAGCATCTCTGATCGATGCAGCAACAAAAAGCATACCACCAACGAATGGACATCATCGAAAACGACGTGTGCCATGGTGGAACTCAGAGTGCCAAAATGCACGCAGGCAGCAAAACAAAGCGTGGAGAGTGCTTCGGAACTCACCGACAGCCGAAAATCTTGCCATTTTTAAGAAAATGAAGTCTCAGGCCAGGAGAACGCGTCGGCAGGCCAGAAGAGAAAGCTGGCACAAGTTTTTATCGGGGATTAATTCTTATACCCAAGAGGCTAAAGTCTGGAACATGGTTGGTAGAGTAGCAGGAAGACAAGTGCATTCACTCCCACTCGTGAACACACAGGGTGACAGCCTCGAAGATCAGGCGAACTTCCTCGGTGCACACTTCGAGCAGGTCTCTAGCTCGTCACACTATACTGAAGCTTTTCTAAGATATAAAGCAAAAATCTAAAAGCAGAAACTGGAATACAAGTGTACAAAATACGAGGCATACAACCAACCTGTCAACTTAGCTGAGCTACAAACATCACTAAATTCCTGCAGTATTTCTGCCCCAGGCCACGACCATGTCATGTACGAAATGTTGAAAAACCTGCCGCTTGAAACGCGAAAAACTTTACTCTCCCTATACAATGCTATCTGGCTTTCTGGCACCATACCTACTTCCTGGAAAGAAGCCATTGTTATCCCTATTTTGAGACAGGGCAAGGACCCTTCCTCTGTTTCAAGTTATAGGCCAATTGCACTAACCAGCTACCTTTGTAAACTTTTTGAAAAAATGATAAACCGCCGACTTTTATATTTCCTTGAAATCCACAATCTGCTTGACCAATATCAATGTGGGTTTCGAGAGGGTAGATCTACCACCGACCATCTGGTGCGTATCGAGGCACAGATCCGAGACGCTTTCGTCCAGAAACAATACTTTCTTTCTGTGTTTCTCGATATCGAAAAGGCTTACGACACAACGTGGCGTTTCGGAATATTAAGAGACTTGTCTCACCTGGGTGTGCGCGGTACAATGCTTTCCATAATTGAGAGTTACTTGTCCAATCGGACATTCCGTGTCCGTGTGGGCAGTGTTCTCTCACAAACATTTGTCCAGGAAACAGGCGTGTCACAAGGTGGCGTGCTTAGTTGCACACTTTTTATTATCAAAATGAATTCCTTGCACTTGTCCATCCCCCGCAATATGTTCTATTGCACATATGTCGACGACGTTCAGCTTGGCTTCAAGTCATGCAACTTGGCAATGTGTGAGCGGCAGGTTCAGCTGGGTTTAAACAAGGTCTCCAAATGGGCAGATGAAAACGGATTTCGACTTAACCCACAAAAAAGCACGTGTGTCTTGTTCTCTCGAAAGAGAGGCATGCACTCGGAACCTGACATTCGACTGAACGGGCAACGTCTGTTCGTCAAAGCCGAGCATAAATTCTTAGGCTTAATCTTGGACAACAAGTTGACCTTTGTACCACACATAAAGTATTTAAAAACAAAATGTCTAAAAGCCATGAATGTTATTAAAGTGTTGTCACGTACTACTTGGGGTAGTGACAGGCAATGCCTCAAGAATCTGTATCGAAGCCTCGTTCGCACCCGCTTAGATTATGGGGCCGTTGTTTATCAGTCTGCAACGCAAAGTGCTTTGAAGATGCTGGACCCCGTGCACCATTTGGGCATCCTCCTTTCTACGGGTGCTTTTCACACCAGCCCCATAGAAAGCCTTTATGTTGAGTCAAATGAGTGGTCGCTTCATCTGCAGATAACTTACATGTCCTTTGTTTATTTCCTTAAGGTGAAAGTGGATAAGAAGCACCCCTCATACTCTACTCTTAATGATTTGTCGAGCTCAATTCTGTTTCAAAACAGGCCTTCGATGAGGCAGCCCTTCTCAGTTCGCCTAAAAAGTCTAGCTGAGGAAACTGGAGTCTCACTTGAACACAGTTTAATGGCTCCTGTAGCATATCCGCCACCGTGGCAATCGCAGACTATAGACTGCGATGTGTCCTTTCTAGAAGTTACAAAACATGCGCCTATTGCCCATATCCGAACATACTTCCTGGAACTTCAACACAAATACACACGTCCTGAGTTCTTTACAG